CTGACTTTTCATTGCTTGTCTCATCATGGATAAAAACATTTGATATGTAACTCAAATATTATTAGGGATATTTCCTGTAAATGAAGTATAATTTGATTCATATTGAGAGAGTTTTCAGTGGGTATGTTGATTCAAATAGCAACCTGGAGGTGTTGGGTCATTACACAGCAGGATAACCAAACACACAGCAAAATTATCTATAAGCAAGCAATACAATTTGGATCTTTAAAGAAATGATTTTAAAAGTCACAACAAATTATACTAAAGTAAATCTGGGAACACTGTCTTTTCTGATAAGTAATAACAAATGAGTTACTTTCTAAGAAACATGCAATAAAATAATGAGGAAATTGCTGGAACAGTCAAAGTATTATCAAGATAACTAGTTAGACAAAACTTTAATTCCAGACAGAATATCAGAGACTGATCTGACAGATCAGCTACGGAGCCCTCAACAAAAGAGAAGCTGATCTGAGCTGATCATGTGACTGAACCGCGTGCTTTCATTGGTCAGCTTCTACTCCGTGTTTATTTCCGGAAGTAAGTTGTTGTCAGTATCAGACTTTCCATAAGGACTAAACCAAACCTCATATCTACAGCGCCGGAACCACAGGTAAACAGCACCATCCATACTGTATTGAAACGATTCCAATCCATTCATTTGGCTGTTTAATAAGTCAGTCGTCACATCGCTTCAATTAACGTTAATACGTTTCTGGATGTAGCCAGTGTTAGCCGTTAGCTGTTGCTCTCCGTAGCTTACGTAATGGACATTTGTCAACAACAGGCAGACAAATACTTCTTGAAAACACAATTCACAGCAGCCCAACGTAATGCCACAGGCCTGGTGTCAAGTCTTAAGCAGTGTAACGCAATGGAAGGGCCCTGTGAGAGTGCTATCACGGCAGCTAGCGAGTTGTAGCGACCGTATGACGGTAGCTACACGACACAAGCTAGCTAATGCTGCCTACTTAATTGACCTATAAGTGAAATATTAGCTATTTGGGCGGTCAGCCATTCCACTGTAGCTACAATGTGTTGACACCAGAACTGTCACTCCTTCATTAACTGCTGTTGTATCTTTCACCCTCTCTAGGTGTGTCCTCTTCCACAGGATGGCTCATTGGTTTCACAGAAACCCACTGAAGGCGACAGCGCCGGTGTCCTTTAATTTCTACGGAGTAGCAGGGAGCCCCGCCGCCAATAAGATATGCAAGTATGTCTTATCTCCTCTTAATAGACTGAGAACAGTGTTATCAGATTGTACTGCGACTGTGACCATGATCACGGACAGAAATAGTACTTTGTTTTTGTCTCTTCTCTCTCTCTCTCTCACGAGGATGTCTTGTCCTGTGGCATGTTACTGTAATTTGATGAGTCACCCATTATCTTACAGTGTGACAGTGCCTGGTTGGATATAAGCGCTCTGAATACTGTAAGATTCAGCCTAGATTTAGAGCCTCTGTTGATTGCTATTTGTTTGACACGTCCAGTGACCTGAGGACCACCAGGGCAAGGCTGCTGGAGATGTTCACCGATGTCACCTGCAACCCTGAGATCATGAAAAATGCCACCGATGCATACTTCTCCCTCCTACAAGGTGTGTTTATACTGCAGCAAATATGTAAATGTAACTTATCTGTTCTTCGCTCTGTCTTGTTAGCCCGCTAAAATGCGTAGTTGTCCATCGATGGGTCAGGTAGTACAAACACGTGCTGTCAAACCAACAGATCCCAAAGTTTCCCAAGATACCTAATTGGAGTGGCTGAAGTTGTATTTCTATTTGATGAAATGGTGCAGCCTTCAGTTTTATGAATTCAGTCAGTGTAACTGTCACATTGTGTCTATAAAGAGTTGGAACAATCCAAATCCAAATCAGAATCAGAAATGCTTTATGTTTTTAACAGTTGTTCTACTCACACAATTTTAAAGAATAGAAATAATACTTACAATATCTAACACAATATATAGACTTCTGTGTATGTATAGGTATATACATATAAGTAAAAAATAAAATAGAAATATAATAAGAGCCTATATACAAAGTAAATGTAAATGTATTCCACCGTATGTAACTCTAAAGAGTTCAAAGTTAGTTTATTATTCTTATACTTCACATGTACACTCAATGGTCAATGCAATTATGGTTTCAGCATATAATTGCCTAACAACACAGTGATTGAGGCAATTGTATTGTCAATTATTGTTAATTGTGTTTCTTCTTGTTTGCCTGCTAACATTGCATTTTTTCATGTAGCTTTGCATCTAACCAGCTGCTTCCCTTTCTTATACACCTGTTTATGGTACAATAGGCTTTATCTTATCCTTGGATGGAACTACACAGGAGAACAAGATGAGGTTCATCCAGAACTTCAAGTGGACCGACACCTTACAAGGAAACACACCAAGGTAAAACCACAGAGTTAATACTTTGAGTCTCATCGTGAGTGAAAGCTTTTAATTTAGTTTTCATAGTTGCATGGCACTGGTAAGTGGGTGAGTTGAAGTTTTAAGAAGGGCCAAAGTAAACACTTTAAAGTGCTTTCCATTAGCTACGTCTTTAAAAAAAATGGTTTCGTTCATATTTGATTCACGGTGTGCTGCAATCGAAGTGTCCTAAATGCTACGCACAGGACCTTTTTAAAGAGTACTTGATGAGGAATTCTGAGCATATATGATCACAAAAAAAAAAACTGCTAAAATGCAAAGAAGTCTATGTTTTTATTCTTACTCGTGACGTGAGTGGCAATCCCTGGAACACACTGATTACCGCTTAACATCATCGTTATCTAGTACATGTGATACCAGTCTGTCTAACCCACACTCTCTCCATACTCTCCTGTCAGTGCCCAGCAGGATGCAGTCTTTGAACTGGTCTCCATGGCCTTCAATGTAGCCCTGTGGTACACCAAGTTTGCCTCGAGACTAGCAGGAAAAGAAAAGTATGTGCTTTTTTTTGTCTGTATTGTTGTATTCGTTTAGGTAAATCAGTCATATATTGATGAATCTAGATATTTTTTTTTTATTGTACATTGCTTTGTTACTATACTAAATATTTGGTACTGTCTACTGCGTTTACCTGTTCAATAGCATAACGGAGGCCGAAGCGAAAGATGTTCACCGGAGCCTGAAAGTAGCTGCTGGTATATTCAAAAACCTCAAGGTGAGACACATCTACAGTCCAGTCTTTTCTCTTGTTATAGTTATTATAGAGCTGTGTGATCTCAACACACCCCCAGTCTTACTCTTAGAATTTAATGACTTGTAGTATTTCTGTGGTGGGAACTTCCAGAGAATTCCTCACAGTTAAGACCAAATAAAGTACATTTTATTTAACTCCCCTGGTGACAACAACATGTCATTTTGCAAATACATTGTGTGAAGTACACATTCTGAGCATTTTCCTCTGATGTAGTTGTCCAGAAATCCTCTTCATTCTTCGCACAAAATAAACTAATAATAACTTACCACAACCTGCCTGAGAATCATCACATCTTTAGGTTTTCTTTAGTATCAAAGTAATCCAGTGGTGGTTGTCTGTGTGTGTACACTGCAAACCTAAACTGCTAAAAACTAATTTGGCATCATTTTAACGGTGCCAATTTGCCAAAATGTAAACAAATATAGCCGTTGAACAAAACAAGTCTCAAGCCTACAGCTAGTAAACTGACTCCATGGCAACATTGAAGGGAGGGCAGTATATATGGGCAGGGGGCCACAATGTCACACTTTAAAAACCTCTGATGTGAAACGTAAAACGCTTTAACAATGCATTAAGAAATGCATAGAGAAATAATAAATGAAAAAGCTTTTTTTAAAGCGACTAATTCTCTGCCATGTTTGCAACAGGAAGTCCACATCCCTCGTCTCATCACCCCAGCCGAAAAGGGCCGAGACCTGGAGCCCAGAGTGATGGATGCATATATCATCCAGTGCCAAGCAGAGGCGCAAGAAGGTAGACTAGCTCCAGGCTTGAACACTGCACTGGCAACTATGAAACTCTATAAACGTGTATTATTTTGATCCACAACTAGCACACATTTGGCATGCTCATTGTGTGTCAGACACATTTCTGTTAATACACCTACATTGACTATTTGTCAATGTAGGTGTATGTGCAGCTACAACGGTGTTGCTTGGTTACAGATGTGTATTGTTTTTTTTACTTGCTATGTAACCCTCATGAGTGGGAATGGTAAAGCTGAGCCTAATACTGTGACATCATAGCAGTGACATTTCTCTAATATAATGTCTGTTGTCGTGTATTGTTAAATATTTGTTCACCCATAAGAACCTATGGTGACACGTGTTTCACAAACACTTTAAATTTCCTTGAATCTTCCATATACAGCTTTATGCTTGACCTTAACTCATTAAGTGACATCTACAAAACATCCTGGTGTGGTGGTCATATGACAGTCATGTGACTGTGACAGGGAAGTGTCACCTCCAAAATGTGGGTGTGACTGAAATGACAGAAATGAAGGAAATGGCTAAATTCAAAAAGCTTGTTTTTTCTTACTAAGGTAAGTTTAAACCCATTTAACAATTCTAATGCTTTAATAGTCTGCCCTGTATTGTATTTAACCTGTTCTCACCATATTTCCTGAACAAAATAATGTCAAACAGGTTACGAAAATGTTGCTGTGACGTCACATCAGGCTTTTAACTGTAAAGTTGTCATGGAAAATCTGGTGTGACGTCTGTGTCACAATAACAAAAAAGGTAATAAGCCCCTCAATTAATTTCACTGTTTCAATTATTTCAAATTAATATGTGCCCTGTTGTTCAATTTAAAGTATATTTTAAGAAATACAAACAAAAAAGAATCTCAAATTATTCAGGTATTAATAGAGTTTAAAGTTATAGAGTATACATTTGACATTTAAAAAGAAAAAACATCAGAAATGTGTTCTATGAGTTCCACTTGGTCTGTGGCAAATCCCCCATAATGCACCTTCAAGGAGAAATGGCTCTGGGTTCTTATGGGTTAAGGGCCTCCGGCTCGCAGCCTAGAATTGATCATATAATGGTGATTGAAAATGTAGCAGGACTTACCAAACATAGATGGGCAGAGTGCCAACTCTTTAAAGGGCCGTTTTTGTTTAGATGGCTCCCTGTGCTTCTTTCTGGCCCAGTTCAGTCCTGAAGCCAGTTCATTAGACAATATGTGTGCCATCATCTGGCGGACCCTCACCTCTAGGGTAGTCCCTCCAATAGTGGCGAGACGGGCAGTCTGGCAAAGTATAACAAATTTGCAGGGTTAACACACGCAGACTGGAATCACGTTTGATCTTGCCAACATATTCATAGATTCCAGCGATGTTACTTTCAGGAGAGCACCGCCATATTCCTCACCAATCTCGTATATTTTAGCAGTGAACACGATGTATATTGAAATGAGGGGGTTGTGTTGCTGTGTTTTTATGTAACCACAAGATGGCGCCTCAATTAGTAAAGCAAACACAGGTAACAATACAGGTGACACAGATGATGAGCTGATGACTGATAAATGTTATTCTATAGGATGAGTTAAGAGCAGTTGAATTTTGCTACTCTAATCTAACTTGTGAAGAGACGAGGACTTTAATCCACTACAAGGAAATGACTCTTAGAAAACTTACTTACTTACTGAAACAACAACAGTTTTTAGGAGATATTGAAGTGTGAAATGCTGACTAATGTGGATGTGGAATGACTGAGACTAATGTTCAATACAAATTACCTCATGTGTCTACTGTCAGAACTGTCAGGCAGTTTAAGGAAATTGTGCCTATCAATTAAGTTTTCTGACAAAAGAATGATGTAACTATTAAACAACTACCATTGTTTGGTGCCTTGGTCCATTTTGCAGTGTCTCCTCCGCACGGTCCAGGGCCTCCATGGTGTGGAGGGGCAGCTCCAAGGGCTCCAAGGAGGCCTGTCCCACAGAGTCAGACTGTCCACACCTGCAGGAGTGGCGGAATTGCCTTAACTTCGCCTTCACCTCCTTGGACAACTCCGTCACTGCAGTGAGAAGCTTCTGCATAGCCACATCTATTGACAAAGAAAATATTAATATTTGAATGCAAAAGCTGACACCCTTTTACTTAAAAATGTCAGAAGGTGTTGAACAAAGAAATCTATCATCAAAACTACTTAAAGCATTCAGTGTAATGTTTAATGTTTTTAATGTTCTTTTATCATTGACATACACTAATGTTCAAAGGTTTGGGATCACTACTAATTTTTCTATTGGGCTTCATTGGGAATTGGGGCGTTAGGGTCTTATTTATCCTTGAAGGTGATGGTTGGCTGTCCTGACTGGCTTGTTGGGTTGCTGGTTTGTTTAAAGAAAAAAAAAGATGTGGGGTGGGAAAGGTGGTTAGGGGCAGATATGTGCGTAATACATAATTAGATTCTCTATTCTCTGTAAAAGCTTACTTTGCTATGCACACACACACACACACACACACACACACCACAATGTGGCAAACTATACCTGGAAATAACACTTTGGGGGCTTTGGTGAATCTGCGCACATCCTGGGGCTCCTCATCCGAATGATAAATTGTCTAAAAGTAAACAAGGGAGCAATTAAATTGTCAACTTAAATTGCAAACTGTATATACCCCAATGTTTGCAGATGGAAAGGGATACTGGCCATAGGACTCTTTCTTGGTAAACTTTCGAAAAATGAGTCTCCTGAACTACCCTGACAATGTTTTCAACAATGGTAATGTCATCTACAATTTGAAAACAGTTATCCCCAGACCTAGATGATAATGTGTACTTTTCTGTAACAAGCTTACGGTACTGATCTCCATAACTTAATGAAGAAATCAACGACCATCATAATGAGGATGCATGAAATTTTTGTCATTTCTTCACCAGTGTCCGAGGTCGGTGCAGGTGGATTCTGAGAGCCTTTTTTATCACCTTGCTGATAAAGGCAAGTGAGCTACGCAATAGGCGCTTCAGTTGTGCTAAATAATTCTCATACGGAAATGCAATATGTTTCCAAGGCACAAACAGACGGTATACTGACGCCCAAAGTGTGTCAGCTGATGGACATTGTAGGTAATTTCACTTCCCATATAGCTGCCCAAAGTGAGTTACGAATGAAGTCAACAATCCCTGAGCGCAATCAATCAATTACTCTGATGTCCCAGAAGACAACAGCAGATGCATGCCAACAGAAAGTAACATAAAGTTTTCATAAATTTCAAGGGCAATGGTATTTTTCAGGACTATGGGCAGCATAAAGCATGAATATCGAAGCTCTGTAGCCTTCCCCGGATCTATTTTCAGAGAGGTGCCTGGTTTCCGGCCTGAACTCAGGTGTGAGAGAGTGTAAGGTCCTAGTCCCTTCAATTTACCTGAATCTCTTCGATTGAGTTACTGGACAACCTTGTTGCCAGTATTTGCCCCTCATTCAAATATTATAGCCAACTCTCTGGTTACCCAAGACAGCACAAGTGCCATGTAATCTAAATGGGAACATTGTCACCATTTTGAACCAGATAGCTAGCGGGGACAGTGTTCTTTACGGGTGTTCATCATACAGATCAAATAGTGGTCCTGCTCCTCCAATCTAACAAACTTGATTTCCGGATATGTCATATGTGTATGTGCGCTTCACCACTTGGAAACACTTGTCGGAGCTGAATAACGTTGGGGCTGTTATATTTTTTAATAAAGGCTTGTCATGGGGCATACATATAAATGTGTTGTCCACACTGAGATGACTAAGCATGACTGAAACCTGAACTCATAAGCTATACTTGCATTATAAGTTATAACAGTAGGGAGTAATACAGCTCCTATGTTTTGACTGATACAGTTTCTATGAATCGTGCTTTG